GGGGGGGGGGGGGGGGGTCACACACCCTGAGACGGGGGCCTCCCTGCAGCTTCGCTCATCCCGGACTGGGAAAAGCTGGAGAAAAACCCACCGCCCTTTTATCTTTGGGAACAGGGGGCAGCTTCAAGCAGCGAGGTCGACCGGGGCCGGAATCGGAATTCAAAGGAAAATGCAGATGGGAGTAGTTCTGGCTTCACCTGACGGGAGGGAAGTTTCAACACGGACAGCCTGGCGAGGTCCCAAAAGAGGTGTAAGTGCACAGACAGCTCCTCTGACCTCCCGTGGTCTGCTAATAATCATTTCAAGAGCATATCTGGCTAAAAAGTGACTTTGGCAAGAAGATGCATGATGAATTCATTTATTCTGTTAAATCTTACTTCTACTTTCGCCAAAGGAATTGATCTCCTTTCACATATAATTACATTTATTTATTTAGCAGATGGCTTTATCAAAAGCGATATATGTTTTTGATAAAGCAGGGTCAGACAGCCCCTGGAGCAACTGGGGGTTAAGGAACTCGCCCAGGGGCCTAATGGTGAAGTTTTTCTGCTGACTCTGGGATCTGAGCTGGAGACCTTCTGATCACAGGCAGTGTCCTCACCTGCTGAGCTGCACACTGCCCCCGCCAGGTGCCGGGTCTACAAGGTTTAACCCGTCTCTTCATTGGCCAAAGGGCCGACGCATAAGATCAACTTATGCCCCCCCACCACACTAGCTACTGAAGAATAGGGTCGAAGGTCACCATGACCAAAGTGGCTATAAAGCTTAGGATTCCCTGCACATCGCCCCCTGGTGATAAATCACCCATGGCATTACCGCAAGGCAGCCCCCGGGGTCACCGGCGAATGATCCGATAAGTGGCCGAATCCCGTCCCATAATGGCCGGCATTTGAAATTCAGTGGGCGTCTCCTCTCAGACACATGATAGCAGCACCCCCCCCCCTGCCCCTAAAACCTCATATTTTTCTCAACACGCTCTGTTATTTGTTCTTATCTTTGTGTCCCCCCCCCCACCACACCCCCCAGGAACGCCCCAGAGGTCAAGCAGGGGCTTTTCCCTACCCCATTTATTTTGTCTGCTGCATTAAGTGTATTAGCTGCATGCTATTAATTGTCTGATCCATTCATCAGGCCACTTACTATCTGCCCGTTACTCATATGTATGATTTATGTTCTCAGGAGAGCACCAAGCGTTTCCCGCTTAGCGACGGCAATATCGGAATGGCTCCTCCGAGTTCCCCGGCAACCATTAATCCCGGGACGCTAAAAGAAAGCTGTCACTTTAAATCAGGCTTTTAGCCTGGCTGCGGTGAAGGTCTGCCACACCATGTGACAGGTGTGTCTTGAGCGTAAGTGCCCCAAACACAGATTGTACCTGACTACGGGCGGCATGGCACTACGGGGTAGACAATGGGTGCGTCATTCTGCCCTGGGGGGGTCACAGCATTCCTTGTCAAGCTTCTGACATCACAAAGCCAAGCCAAAAGTCAAGTGATCCTTTATTATCAACTTCAGATATACGATGCATGGGTCATACAGCAAGCTGAAATATCATTCTCCTTGGTCATAGTGCAAATCAAAAGAGTAATATAAAATAATATAATATATACAGTGTACACACACACACACACACATACAGTACTGTGCAGTCTTAAGCAGTCACACAAAATGAAGTTTAAATGATGGTGCTAATAGATTCTTGTTTTGTTACAAGTCTACTGTAATAGACAGAAGAAATTATACTTGCCATTAATACATTGGTAACGCCACACAATTATAAGTAACTGAATAGGTAATCCAAAGGAACCTATACAAGCTGAGTACATTGATGCCACTGCTGACTAAACCACCCAATTGTAAACCAGACTGTTGCTATTAAGATACAAAGACGACGTGTCCCGGTCCTTCGTGGGCGCTCGTTCTCCGAATGGAGTCGCGCCGCCGAGACTCCGACGACCTCGGAGATGCTGTTCTCGCCCGCACTATACGCAGGATTTACGGAGTTTAACACTAATCCGGGACAGCGCTGACCCCCTTTCCAGAGAAGAACCGTTTCTCTTATAATGGGATGTTTTTTTTTTCCTATTTCTGGGAAATATTTTTTTTGTTAAGAGCGTATTTAAGGTTATACTGGAATGGGGCAGATGGGTGGGGGCGTTTACCAACGACATAGTGTCATAGTGTCTGTAGACAAAGGCAGGTGACTCCTGCTCATCAAGGTTTTTTTCTCATTATTTGGGCCATTTGTAGACTTTAGCATTATACCTTAATGCCGCTTGACAATTAAATGTCTTCTCAAGGGGACCAATGATGTGAAATGGATTGCAAGTATATTGAGACCCCAGCTGATTTCCATGCTGGTCTATGCTGGTTTGGTGCTGGTGTAGCTGTAGTGTTCTCGTGCAGTGTGTCGTAACTCTGACTAAACACCGAGTTAAACCGTAGTCAATGGAGACAGAGTCGTAGGTTACTGTCACGCTGTTTCATTAACATGCCACTGAGATCTGTAAATAAAATACAAAACATTCAGCATCTGTTTTAACCAAAGATTACAATACCAAACATGGATTTACATTATTATATATTAAAATTTGTCTACATGTCACTTAGCTTGCAAATACATATATTTTGTAACCAAAAATATAACAAATTTAACAAATTATCGCTATTTATGCTTTCCAACATGTTTAACATCACTTGCATGAACTTACGGCGTTGCCTGAATAATGGCTTTGAAAGGATGGCAACCAATTAAATTGAAGCCACGCTTCACACATGCCGCTCGCTTCTGAGAAAACCAGGAAGAAAACAGGAAATGAGCTAAGGAACAGGTGACCTACTGTAACAAACATGATGTCATCAGGTGACCTACTGTCAAAATCAATTTCTTTAACACAAGTTTTTTTAGAACATATTACAATTAAATCTGTTTTTGTAATGATTTTAATTGAACCATGTATTAATGAATTACTTAAAGAACGTTTAACGTAAAAATAAAATAAATGCTTTGGAGGCAACACAATAGCCATTGGACCAGCATAGCTCTGTTGATCTACCTGCACATGAAGTTATGGTGCGTTCGATTATCTCTCTCCAAGTCGGAACTCGGATGAAAACGTCACGAAAAACGTCACTTCCCGTCGGAAACACGCCCCTTTTATGACGTTGAAGTCGGACCAGATTTTGTTGCCCGAGTTGCCCCAGTGACGTAATTTCAACATGGCGACTTGGTTTGTTTGTAGTTTGTTTACCGATCGAAAAAAGAATATCGCTATGAATGTACTAAAATATTTTATAAAGCTTTAAATGTGGTTTGACTGGTTCGTGTTTCTTGTTTGTCTCTCGGAAAAATCTCAATTTCT